CCCACTGACTCCCCATCTTTCAGCACCAAGAATTCCTTTTAACCCTCCTCCTTCAGGGACCTCATATTTGGAAAGTGTTTGAATAGCTGCTTCTATTCAATACCTGTTCCATTGCATCATTAGTTGGGCTAAAAATTATTCCTTCATTAGCTCATCTCATACTAAGAAAATTACTGAGAAAAACCTGTCTCCATTTTATCTATGAGAAAGTCAAAACTAAGATAGGTATGTTTGCCTCAAGCCTATAACTAGAAAGAAGGAGAGCTGGAATTCTGCTTACCTCTGTGCAGCTTCAAGGCCCCACACACTGCTAGCATTGGAAAACAGCTCCGAGCTGGGATGGAGCTCAGTGGCACAGAGCCTGCCTGACAAGCGTGAGGCCCTGGATTTGATTTCTAGTAAAAAAAAAAAAAAAAAAAGAAAAGAAAAAAGAAAGAAAGAAAGAAAGAAAGAAAGAAAAGAGGAAAGAAAGAAAAAAAGAAACAAAACAAATAGCTCACATGCTCAGCAATTAAACTGGTGGGTATAGGGAAGTGAGAACCATGTGCTTGAACGTTTATGCGGCGTTGTTTGCAAGAGCCTGACAGCAGAAACAACTCAAATGTCCATCAGGTGATGATTAGACACACAAACCACGGCATTTTCCTTCCAATAGAATAATATTTGACACAAAAAGCAATGGAGTGACACAGGCCACAACATAGATGAAACTCAAACACATTTTGTTAACAAGTCAGCCACAAAAGAATATACAACATAAAGACACGAAATAAGTCTGAGTGGTAGGATATAAGTCCAAACAGCACACATCAGTCTAAAGTCCTAACAGTCATTAAACAAGTAGGTCATTAAATGAAGAATATCTGTATTCTAAAACAAATAGCAGGAAAAAAAAAAAATCAAAACAGATGCTATGACTGAGACGGCCCTGTGCTTCTGTCTCTTGAGGGTGGAGCAGCCAGGACTGTAGTCACAGGTCTGTTCAGAGCACTTGCCTGACAAGCTCAGAGCTCTGGCTTCCATCCCCTGAAGCAGAGCTGGAAGGCAGACAGGACAAGACCTTCAAAAGCTGTGTCTTGAGACGACAGGTTGTTTTGTCCTTTTGAGCCTCCCCCGCCCTATGTAAACTGAAGTGTACTGTCTCTGTAACTTACGACAACGTGTGAAAGTGTCCCAGCAACTCCAGTTCGGAAATTGACTGTGAAGCCAGAGGCTCGAGCAGAGAGGAAGAGGCAGGAGGTGTGTGTGTGGACAGATAGGCCCCTTGCACTGAAGTCACACCCACAGCGAACTTTCTTTCTTGCATGTGCAGGGTCTGCTCAGCCCAGAGGCTGGAAACAGAGCCTAGGAATTTTCTCCAAGACCCCAGGAAGAAGGATAGACAGGGAAAGGCTAGAAACCAAGGGGGTATGGGGGTGAGCTCGAGACAACGCTTCTGGCTGTGGAGCCCTCAGGAGGTAGAACCAAGGGGAGGCCAGGAGAGAGCTAAGAGAACGCCACGCTCCTATGGCAGTTAAAATATGGCTGATTTTCAAGGTGGTAGGATGAGTTAGATCATTCTGATGTATTTTTTCCCAACTATGAAGCATCTGCCAAAAATACAGACACTTTTCTATAAACAGCTAGGAAGTAGAAAGGAGTACAAAAGGCCAACCAAGTAAAGAATACAACTAGCAAGCAACTTGGCAACAGAGGTACTTTAGCACTGAGAAATACTACTAGGAAGGCGATCAAGGTGGTAAATAAAGTCCAGTTGGCCTTCACTGTTTCATAGACTCCATATTTGTAAACTCATTAAATCTCCCTGCAAGCCCTAAATCGCTACCAGTGATGCTTTAGAGGCCATACGTAGATACAGGCAAAGCAGCACCAAATTCCGAATTTCAGAACATGCTTTCAACTGAGATGGACCAAACACCATCTTCCTTTTACTGTTTTCTTTTACTTTCTCTTCTTTCCATTTCTCTCTTGTACCCTCTTTGCCTTTTAAGATTATTTAACGTTTTTGTTTTGAGACAGGGTCTTGACCCTGTGCTCCTCCTGCCTCGGCCTCCGAGCACCTATGTGGCATCACACCTGTACTCTGTCTTCTTTCATCTCAGTTCTCACCTTGCAAATGAGTCACACCTGTTAGCGGCCCATTTGCTGCATTGCTTTGCTTTTCATTGCTTTCACTGTGTTGAATGGCCCCCAAATGTCATGCTGGTGTGCTGCATAATGTTCCAAAGTGTGAGACAGCTGGGGTGTGCTTTCACTGAGAAAGTATGTGTCAATATCTATCAGGCTTGCGTTCTAGTGCTGGTGGCTGAGTTCCATGTTAACAAACAGACAATGTAATTAAATAAAGCATCTTTAAACAGAAACACACATGATGTACTGGTGAGCTGACAAAGATGTGGCCAGACGCTGAAAGAAATCTAAGATAGGAGCAATAATTGGGTCTTTTCTATTTAGTCTTTGTGGTGACTTTAACATGAATTTCATAATTATCTCATCTTCATATCCATAAGGTAGATGCCATCATTGTCTTTCTTACAGGAAATTGAGGTCACCCATGTTAGACCACGTGACTTGGAGCTAACAGGCCCTGGCAGGATTTGAATACATCCCTAACTCCCAGCGAGGAAGGAGACTTTCTAGCCTTTGAACCAGAGAGCAATTTCTGAAGAAAAGGTGCCTGGTCCCAGATCGGGGCTGGCAGAGGTGCCTGAGGAGAGCCGAGCTTAGCCAAGGAAGAGCCGAGGGAGGAGGAGGAGAGAACTGAACACCGTCCTCCTGATGCAGTGTGCATGGGTCAGAGCACAGCTAAGCCGAGGGAAGAGATAACCAGAACTGACATGTAAGAGCGACCCAGAGTTGGCACCAGGCTGGGGAGGAGCCTGGGAATGACAGTGCCAAGGGAGCACAATGGAAGGAATAGGAATTATTCAGCACAGAAGTGACGGCATGGAGGAAGGCCAAAGAATCCGTAAGTATCTTCGGAGCTATCCGGTGGATGAAGATCTAGATGGAACGCAGAGCTAGGACTGCAGACTGAAAGTTAGGGGGCGGGTGTTGGCTCACTGTAAGGCATAGTACATCAAAAAACTGGAGGTCCATAGACCAGGTCTAGATGCAGACATGTTTGGCCAGCTTGCAGAATTAAATAATATGTACATACTACATAATAAAGTATAATATAGTCACAGGTGTGTTGGTGCATGTCTGTCAACCCAGCACTGAGGAAGCCCGAGGCAGGAGGACGGTAAGTTCAAGGCCCACCTGCACAAGTCAGTGCAACCCTGTGTCTCAAAATAAAATGAAAAAGGGCTCGAGATACAGCTCAGTACAAAGGCCCTAGGTTCACCTTTGTTAAAAAACAAACAAAATCCAAACATAACAACAACAACAACAACAACAAAGGACCGAAACCTTAGTACTTTTTAACTGTTCTTTTATGGACATAGACTCTACACCACCCTCTGTGGTCTTGGCTGTGTCCCTCATGTGTAACTTCCCTAACTCTTATACAGTACTAGGGTTACCAGGTTTTCCAAATGTAAGTATAGGATACAGTATTATACAAAGGATAATTTCTCAGTGTAGGTATGTTCCATGCAATACTTAGCATAAACTTACATTATGTCTGTACTTACATCCCACAATATTTCCATTCTGTATTTCATCTGACAGCTTTATCCTGAGGCTTTGAATGGAAGTCCTCAATGCTGTGTTTTGGGAAGTGAACTCCGTATTTGGAAAAAATTCATTTGTCTCAGAGGAACGTTTGGGATAGAAACAGGACTAAAATGGCTTAAATATGCCCTGGCCCTATTTTCCAGAGGTTCCATTTCAGAGCAACATAATAATAAAAAGGGGGAATTAAGTTAGAGAAATAACCTCAGGGTGGCTCTGGGTGTGCCTGACAGGCAGGACTCAAGCTTTCTGCTCTACTAGCTGAATTCTGTACCAAAGACCTGGGAAACTCTCCACCTCTAGCAGCAGTGCTTGCTAGCAAAATTGCTTTTGAAGTGAAAGCTCACTGGTCTGTGAACCATCTGTAAGAATCGGGTACTTTGGAGTCTGGTCTGTGCAGCTGAGAACAATGGCAGGCTTCTCCTGAATCAGGGCTCGAGCAAAGCCAAATGCAACCCACCTCAATCACTCTGTTTTTCTCTGTCAGAAGCTATCTTACACTTCTCTGTGACTGCAGTTAGTCATCTTGACACTTGTTTTTTTGTCCAGCTGCCAGAGCTGCTTTCCTGGTTGTTTTGAACAGATTGGGATGGACTCCCAAGGAATGTGGCAGCGTCGGGTAGGCGGGACACGAGCAGCTACTGCAGCTGCTTCCCAGGTGGAAAATGAGACTGGACCTGAGATCACGCATAGGAAACACACTTCTGATGTGTCCGTAGTCTTGGGTCAATGGCTAATTGTTCTAGGGTCTTTTCTGGCCTCCAAAGAACCCAAAGGTGTTTGTTGAGACAATGTGGTGTGACTCACTTGTCTGGCGACAAGGCAGTTAGCCTCATGGTAGGGTGGCGAGTCCAGAGCTACTGGCTGCAGTCAGCTCCTGGGCTGGAGCTCTTCACAGCCCATGCACTGCTTTCTGCTCTTTCTCCTTGGTTTACCATGTCTCCCTCCCCCCTACTTTTGTCAGTGAAAAAATGAAACAACAAAAATCGGGAAGACAATGAAGAATAAGAGGGACACGGACAGGTTGGCAATTCCCATTCATACTTTTGGGGAAAAGATCCTGGACTTGGACTTTACTATCTTTTTAAAAGATGTCAGAATAACACAGACACTTGATACATAGCAGCAAATACTATTGTGCTTGTTGAATTAATGGAAAACATAAACAAGAAGAACCACTACACAGCAGTAGGACTTTGTAACACTTTAATGCAGTCTCATTTGTCGCTAATCTGATGATGAGTTGCTCTGTATAGCTCCCCAGTGGCAGGCACTACCTTACCAGTCCCTAGAAGCGTTTAAGAAGAGGCACTGTAGTCAGCAGTGGATGCATGCCAATTGCTTTATTTATGGTGTCTACTTGTGCCATGAGGCCAGCCAGCATTTGGCTGTCAGGACGTCTATGGCCCCAAACACATCATTACTCCATGATGCGGCGGAAGGACTGCACAGCGGGCGAAGCTGCACCCCAGTCAATGGGCTTCCGGTATTCCTTCTTGTCCAGGAGGTACTGCCTGCCGCGGTAGTTGGGCAGGTCGTAGAAAACCCAGGCCCCCTCCAGCACTTTACAGGAGTGGATCTCTCGCAGGTGAAACTGCTCCATGATGGAAGGGCAATCTTCAGTGGTTTCATACATCTGACCATTAAAATCTCCTTTCTCAAAGATCTGAATCTTATACTGGCCTCCACTAGACTGAAAAAGCACAGAAGACAAGAAACACCCATCATTATGGAAGCCACCAGCAGGTCGGGAGCTCAGGACATGGTGCTTCAGAACCCACCACCTCGAAAGTACCATCACTGAACTGTCCCCATTAAGAACTAATGAAAACAGCTGACCTTCAGTAAGAAAAAGTTCATTCCTCTAAATACCCAAGAGGTAGAGAAAACATCATAGAAATAAACAGTATTCAGTCTTGTGATCAACTGACTGCAGACTTTTTTTCAAGCTTCATCAGCTAACAAAAGCCAGCCACCCATGAGGAAATAGGAAGACTGAAAGGAGAGGAAGAGACAGAGACACAGACAGGGGGAAGTCCCCTTCCTCACCAGATGAACCGCTCGGCAGGAGCCCAGGCGGTCGTTGAGGCCCATCCAACGCTGATATTCAGGGTACTCGCCCTGAGGTAAGATGTACACGTGTCCAGTGAAGTTGGGCCTTTCGTACACAGCCCAGGTCCCTCCTTCCACTCTAATGGAGTTGCAGCGACTTAGGTACGAGTGGAAATCCACACAGTCGCAATCACAGTCATAGCGGCGGCCTTGAAAATTTTTGTCTTCATAGAAAGTAATCTGAAGTATGGGCAAATAAACAGAAGAACCAAGTTGGACAAGTTTATTTACAAGTAAAATAAAAAGAATATATATCGCCCACTGTAGAAATTCCTTTTCCAATTTTGTGGAGAGAATATATAGTTTTACCCTGTCTCCCATTTGGCTTCTGGTGGACAACTTCTGTGGTCAGTCAACAATGGGAACAAGTACTTTCTGAATGCTTAAAATAAAGCAGAATAGAAGAGTGCTCTAATACCCTGGATTCTTTCCATGCCTCTGGTTGCAAACCGAGTCAGAGGAGCACCAAATCAAGCTCCTTGTTAGGTTAGGTTGTATATGTATGTCTATTCCTCCCTTTGAGATCCTACTAGACTTCTTCTAAGGGCAAGGAGCAAGTCTTACTTAAGGTATGGACTTTTTGTGCCCAGCACCCAACAGGTCCTCAAAAATATTGAAGATGAATAATTTCTACAGGCAAGATTCATGCCAGATAACATAGATGTCCAGAGAAAAAGAACAGCCTAGTTTCTGAGAGCTTGTTTATTGTTGATACAGAGCATACACTCATGAAAATATACAACATTCTGCAGTAGTCTACTGCCAATAGGGTTTCTGTGAAGTAGCAAGGCGTGCAGCCCTGGGACGCTAGAATGCGAGGCGGGGGGGCCACAGCAACCGTTCCACCACCCAACCTGCTCCCTTCATCCATCACTTCTCTAGGCTCCAGCTTCCCATCTGTCAAATGATTTTTTTTTCCATGAAAAGATTTGACAGATTGGAGCCCTGGCCATGAAACAAAACTAGATTTCAAAGAAAAGTTTCCAGGAGTTTCTAGGGATTCATGAATCAGTTCCTAAAAGCTACTATGAAAACCACGAATGGGCTAGCCGTCCCTTCTTGCTCATTGATTCCACAATCTACGCTCCATGCTAGGTTATAATTCAATATGAAACCATAGGGTATCATACTTCATGCAAATCATATCCTGTCATTTTGTCGCCACCTTGTGGCTCATTTGCTACGCTGACCTTAAAGAAGAAAACCAAGTCCTTGTAGATAAAAGCAGCTGAAATCAGATTTGTCTTTAAGGTTGAATAAATGATTTTCACAGGCAATGGAAGGGAAAATCCTACTCTCAGAATAAAGAAAGGTAAAACGCGGCTAATTATAGGGATAGTAAGTTCATGAAATCTAGTCCATACTGAGTATGTGGTGAAGTATTAGGAAAAAAAGCCAGAAAAATCAGCCCAGAGCTATGCTAGAATCCTCTTGGAGTTTATATGAGAGCTGGACATGAGTGGTTCGTTCCCAGAAAGAGATGGTTGCTGTGAGCCAGGTGACATGGTGAGGACAAATGCCAGGCAACTGCAATGGGAAAACAAATGAGATTTAGGATTTGGTGACCAATTAGACGTAAAGGATGAAGAATTGGCAAAGGGCATCCTCTTCCATGCTGGGTAATTCTTTCTAGATAGCAACATACTAATAATTACTTCCTTCCCTACGCTTCCCATTTCTCTATTTTCTAGTCTCTAAATCTTATTTTCCTTTTCACCTATGAGTAGAATCATCTCCTTATTCCTTTTTTTCTCAAATTTGTTTAGCATAGGACAGACACCTCTGTTTATGGATAAAGAAGAAAAAATCCCAGCCTACCACTTACTAGCTTGGAGATCCTGGACCGGGCATTGAAGGGGTCTCTAGAGGATTTTATGGGCAAAATAAGGTAACAGCACCTACTGCGGAGATGGTCTAAGAAGCCAATCAGATTAAGCATTCAGCTCAGTACCTGACTGCTAACTGCTGAAGACCGTTTGCTACAGTTGTTACAGAAGAGAAGTGACTCTGGCTACGGGCACTAGCAGTAACAAGTCAGTGAAAGGCAGCGCACAACTTCTGTGTGCTGCTGTGGCTGATTTTATTTCCTTTGGTGTCTTCTTGTTTGTACTGTTGGCTCCATTCTCCATGGCAGCATTTACTTTCTTAGACAATGAGCAGGACTAGTGCTGTGCCTGGGAGACCTTTTCCAGGACTGTAGAGATATCTTTAGGAAAATCAAGTAACTTCTCTAAGAATGGATAGGTTTTAAACTCCCCAATTAATTCATGTTGCCTTGGGTTTTCAACCAACATTCACCAGAAAGGCTTTGCAAGGTATATGCCATTGTAAATAAAGTTATCATCAGCTACTTCATTCCACCATCTCTTACCCACTGTCTTCTGCACCCATGCCTGACACCAGATCGGAGAAGAAATGCTCATGTTCTCCAAGGCTACCACACTGCTCACCCCCCAGCAAACATCCCAAGGTTGAAGCAAAGCACTCGTGTGGAGCTGCCACGGAACCATTACTGGGCTCTGGGGCTAATCTCCCCTTTCAGCGTGAGTCCTTCTAAATTTCAGAGCCTGAGAATGTTGCACCAGGGTGTAGTCAACTTTTCTTTCTAAAGAAATAATAAATGTATCTTCTCAACTGTTGGTTGAGAGGTTTGGACTCTTTTCTACAAAAATTTTATACAAAAATCTGCAAAATGTATAGGTTTTCCCATAATTTTTATGGGTTTTAAGTTTGTATTTTGAAAAATACCCTACCAACCCAATCCAACAGAAAGAAAAATGCCTCGAATATTCCAGAAGGTACAAAATATGCTTAATAGAATCCATTCATTTTGCAGGCTCATAACTCCTTTGATTAAACCAAGAGAGAGAATAAATAAAACAAGGGAGAGAATAAATAAGTTATCACCTCCCTTGGCTCAGCAAGCAAGTTACTCAACTAAATGAACAACCTCGCTATGAGAAATAAAAGATCACACTGTTACTACTCTGGAAAGCAGAGTTTGAAAACAGATGTTCTCATCTGTGTAAGACGGTTGTGTAACAGTCTTCCTCAGGATGTGGAAACCCCTCCAAGGAGTTCAAGCTCTTTCTCAGCGGAATGTGCACTGCATCTATAACCTCAAAGTACTAAAGATATGGTGTTATTTTCCCCCAAAAAAACTTTGCTGATGATAAATATAGCTGATTGCTAAATGGAAAAAAAATTAGGCCCAAACGTTATTAAGTTATTATTAACATCCAGCTCCTGATGTACCGAAATGCACTCAATCCTGCCTATCCAGCTTTCTCGCCGAAGTCGTTTAGTCTGTATCTAAACACAAGGAAATAACCAGACAGATGTAGATGCGAAGCTTTCTACAACACACCTACCTGGTCTGGAGTTTGAAAAGTGTCTTTGTCTCAAAAACCAGAAAGAAAAGTAGAAGGACTATTCAAAGTTAAAGTAGCTAAAACAAAAAAATTTTAAAAAACAGGCTAGGGACATAACCAGCCTGGTGTGACTGGATCTTATATAATGCACATTTCTGAGGACAATAAGAAATTTGAATACAGTCTGAGTATCAGTTTGATTTATGTGGGATATCAGGAACAGGATGACTGATGACACATCTGGGAGCATGATACACCTGATTTGTGCGGGGAGGTATTTGTTTTTCACACATACAAACCTAAATACATAATATAACAGTATAATGAAGTCCAGTTTGCTTCAAGTGGTTTAATATAAAGAGACAGAAAGAGATGAAATATGACAAAATGTTAACTGATGAACGCAAGTGTAGGGCACACAAGCATTCACTGAACGTCTCATTCTTTCAAGATTCACTAAAATTCACTGGAAAATTTGCAAGGCAAAAAGTTGGAAGAGGGCTCAGACAATGGTTGTACCTTAGACTCACTGGATCCTGGGAGAGATGAAAGGAAGACGAGGTGTATTTTCTCACTCGCAAAGCCCTGCCTGAAAGATCAATATGTAGCCTAGCAATTTTCGGGCAAATATTGTAGAGGTAATTTTCTTGCCATTAAGTGAGCACAGTACGAGTAACTGTTTGGATGAAGGAGACAGACAGTTTCGCTCCTCTGACCAGCTTCACTACTTTGGCCTTCTGGAACATTAACCATTGAGGTTGGCTTTCACGGAGCAATTTAAGGGCCTACTAAATATTTTGTCATCCACGTAATCCTCAACAGCATGCTCTATTCCTATGCAGATGCACAGACTACTTACTTATTATTACTACTTACTTATTACTACTTACGTATTATTCACCCATACCACATCTGGCATGGCATTTACATAAAGATAAGCTCATTAAGTAGTGTTTGGTGATTCCATTAGAGTACAACACTGTGTTTCCTGATCTTTCCCAGTCCCAGTCCTCTAACCACTCCTTCCACACTACTCACCTCTTGGTAAAGAAGCATAAGTTTTTTCCATGTTCTTTCACTGTACTGTAAGGCAAACAGCACAGGCTAAGCATCAGTACGACCACTTACTTACCTTGGTCCCAGTTTTAGACATCGTTAGTGCACAGGTTGGCTTCCCCAGTGCTGAAAGAAATGCAGGAGTGGCTACAGGGAGTCAGAGGCAGACACATTTATACTGCACTGGTTTCAAATCAAACATTTGCTTAGTCATGAGATTAGGATCCAAAAATTGAGTCAGTCATTTAGAGGCTATTGATGGTTTCTAGAAAAACAATTGGGATTATGAAATAAAAGAAAGCTTCATTACTCCCTTTAATGCTTACCAAGCCCTGCTGCATTATACACTTTGCTGAGTCAAGACACCAAAATCCAGCCAAAGTTTTAAAAATAAAAACAAAGTCTCCCTTCCCTGGCAATTATCCCCTGCCCTCCCCCGCAACAAAACAAAACAAAACAAAAAAACCCTCTAAAATTCCTAATGTCTTTTTTTCTTCAACAAAACTGGCAAAAGTCAGAAGACCATTCTCTGTTTCTGAACAAAAGTGACCTGTCCTGAAAACAAAACAACATGACAACAGAAGGCGATGAATGGTTTGGTGTGTGTGTGGGGTGAAAAAAATCACCACATAGATCATTCTTGGGACAACTAGAAAAAAATCTTAACATAGATTAGATATTACTATGGTGCCAATGTTTAACTTCTTGAATTTGGTCATGGTAGCACGGCCACGTGAGAGAATGTCTTTGTCTTCAGGAAATGCATGCTAACATATTTCGGAATACAACACTGCGATGTCTCTAACCCATCTCAAATTGTTAAAGCAGTATGACACAGGAAGTGGCAATGTGAATGAGGCAAAAATGTTAATAACTGGTGAATCTACACAGAATTAAAAGAGTTAGTTATTCTTGCACCTGCTCTTTGAATGTTTTTCAAAACACAAGGTCGAGTTCTAATCCACAATAAGCAGAGTAAGCAGAGACAGAAAGCTACTCTGGGACTGCAGAACCTGCCACCCAAAAGGTGATTTTTCCCTCATTCATACTGTAAGGAGTGATGAAAATATAAAATTCATGTGTAAATGTTTAAAAAGTTATTATGGTAGAAGACACCCTGCCACTAATCCCCTCAGAATGTGTCCCCTCCTTTGAGCACACTTAACTCATTATTTTTGTCACTTTCTTGGGTAGTCCTGGGAGTCTTCTTTTGTGTCTTCGTGAGATGTGATTAAAAAAAAAACAAAAAAAAAAAAAAAAAACAAAACAGCGGATGCGCTTGCGGTGTGTCCAATAGAAAAGCAGGCTCCACGTCATCACGGGGTGCCCCTTTCCCCTCACTCACCAGATCTGGTACGGTGCAGCGTTTGCCCCTTTTCTAAAGTCAGAATGACCAGGGAAGGGAAATGTTTCGAACTGATTCAGAATGTCAAGGCAGCTACAACGGCACTACTGAAGATAATTAGGAAAGCTCCAGAAATACGCTATTACTGCCAATGTGGCTTCTACTGTAACAAGTTTCACTGTAAAAAAATTTAAACATGCACCATAGTTTTCAATGAGACAATATCATACTTGGGGCCTGTTCAGAGAACATTTTCTGATTCTTAAACCACCTCAGACTTTTTAAATGGAATGAAATTTTTATGTGGACTCAAAGATTATCAATAGTCTCCATTTTTATTTTCCTGTTTTATTATATTCTTTTCAAAAGCCCAACTTCCTCATGTTTGCACTAATAAAACTGTTCAAAAGTATTTTAATAAATATGAGACCTTCAGAATGTATTATGGTCAATTCAGAAAATGGTAACTCTGCCTTGATACAAAGATTACTGAGAAACAAGCAAGAAGCTTTATGTTTAGTTTTATGAATCTTAATAACTTTTAAGAAAGTATTTAATTAGTATATTCATTTCATTAACAATTTCCAAATCACAATTTCTGTTACTCCAGTGTTCTTTTATTTGTTAATATTCTGCTTACTTGAACTTATCTTAAAATAAAAATTCTAAAACCTTTAGTTAGAATTAATGTTCTGTAGATTAATTTTCACTTTATAAATTAAGTCTTTTTCGATAAAACTAATTAAATAGCTAGCTATCATATGAAATATTTATTAACAATCAGATTTATTTTACTACTTTGGAATTAGTTTTCCTTTATCTTAACAAATACAGCTTTCCACAACAAACATAAACAGAGTGACATTAGAAACATTCCCTAAGGTAAAAGTAAACCTTTTTTTAGCAAAAGAAGAAAATTACTTTTTTTGAGTTGGCTTATTGTACATTTGAAGCAGAAAATGAAATATAATAAACGTTTTATGAAAGTTGTTTCATATAAATATCCTTATATAAAACTATTTCTGCTATATTTACACATCAACAAATTATACTTTTATTTCAATTATTTCTTAAAAGGAGCAACAATTTCCTTTTAAATAGTTATAAAGAACTATAAAACTCTTCAACTCTAGAGAGAATGAAATCCTTTAATCATATATATTAAAATATGAAGTAAACCTGCAAATCCACAATCTTTTTCAGGTGGTTTCTGAGGCAGAGCCTCACTATGTGGTTGAGGCTGTCTTTGAACTCACAGCGATCCTCCTGCCTCAGCCTTCCAAATGCTGGGATTACAGGCTGTCCACCATACCCAGGTATAAATATTTAAATACTAGCAAATATATAATATCAGCAATATACATATAGAGTGTCTTCATCAAGTTTCCATGTTTGCCTCATAAACGTGGGTCTTCTGTGGTATAAACACTTTGCTTACATAAAAGTCAGCAGTTTCGCTTAAGCCCAACCTAAACAGTAGCAAGAATGGAATGGAAATCAAGAGGCAGTCTTATACAGGAGCAGAAGGGCCCACGTCTCCCAGGCGGCAAGAGTGCGTCCCAATCTAGATTCCAGTGGGTGACCTCCTCCATACATCCTATGTGTTTGGGGCCCTGGAAATAACAAAAGAAAAAATGAACAATAATAACTTCATTTTCTATTACCTTCACATAAATAATAAGCAAATGCCTGCATCTACAAATGCATCTACAAATGCCTGCATCTTCATTTAAGTTACAAAAGTGAGATAATAGTCTAGAGTAACAAAGTTTAAAGCAAATTTTTGTGTGTGTCACATTACTTCATCATCTTTTCTATTATGAAATTCACAGATAGGCATAAAAACTTAGCAGACTACAGGGATTAATTTAAACTAACATTTGCCCCGTCCTAGTTTTTTTGTGTACTCTACCAGATTTCTGATTCTTAATTTTGGCATTTATGACCAGGGAGATGGCTCAGTGGAATAAGCGCTTCCCTGTTAAGCGCAAGGGCCGGAGTTCAATCCCCAGTTCAAAAAAATAAAATAAAATAAAAAATTCAGGATTAAATATAAAATTCTTTTTAAAAAATAGGTACTATAGACAAATATAAACACTATATAAAGCGAACAATAAACAATATCTTTTCCTAACTTTATAAAATTGCAGTTCCTTAAAAAGTGAACCATCTGTCCTGACACTTTTGTTCCCAGGTGCATACTCACGTGAAATTAAAACGTGTCTCTGCAAAAACCTGTCTACAAGTGCACCTGAGAGTATCATTCGTAACAGACAAAAGGCAGAAACACCCCAAGTAGCCAACTCATGAATAAGTAAACAAAGAGGGACAGCCCTACCGTGGGATATTATCCTATTATAAAAATGAGTGAGTCCTGACGTCACATGGGTGAGCCTTGAAAATATTAGAAGCCAAACACGTTATATATTTATATGAAATGTTCAGAATGGTTAAAGTTGATGGCTGGTTGCCAGGGCCTGGGAATTGGAGGAGACACAGGGAGCTGGAAAAATGGGGACATTGCCCAGGTTTTATTATTTAGGGGTTATGAAACTATTCTGGACTTGTCAAACGGTGATAGTTGCATAACTTGTGAATAAACTAAAGGCTACTGAATTCTTCCCTTTCAAAAGGTAAATATTAGGTCAGGACTGGTGGTGCACACCTATAATGCCAGCACCGAGAAGGCTGAGGCAGGAGGATCACTGTGAGTTTGAGGCAGCCTGGGCTAAATAGTTCAAGGCTACCTTGAACTGCATAGTGAGACCCATCTCAGAAAACTAAAAGCCAAGCAAACAAAAAGGGTGAGTTTTGTTACATGCATTGTATCTCAATAAAATACAAATACATTCCTCAAGAGCATTGCTTACGATTTCTTCATATTCTTTCAGGAATTTCTAAGTTATATACATGAGAATCTGGCCCATGTTTCAAACAGAGGAGACATATTACTTTTTCTGAATTTAGAGATTGTTCAGTATCCACAAAAGTAGACATAGTTTCTTAAAGACACACTGCATAGCACAGACAACCAGCTCCTTAGGCACCAGCTCTGCAATGAGAAGGACGTAGGCTCTTTCTAGTCTACAGCTACTTAAAATATAACCACTTTGCAAAAGGAGAACTTTACAGGATATAAAATTTCAGTACATAAGTGAAGTAAGCTCAATGGTTACCATGGTTAACTATATACCACGTCCTTGAGAAATGCTAAGAGGGTAGACTGTACACATTCTCACCCTAAAAATGACAGCTATGTGAGGTAATGTGTGTTACTACAATCAACTTCACTACTGCATGATGTGCATATACTCTCTCAAAACACGCATACATGATAAGTATATGCAACTTAGCAAAGCAAATAAAATAAAAATTGAATAGATCTTCATGTACATGAGTGTATCTGTAAGATAAAGTCTAAAAAGTTAAATTGCTAAGTCAAAGAATATTTTAAATTATGATTTTTGTCAAGCTGCCCTACGAAGTGTTAAGACTCAGAAGGCTTACGGCCTGTTTTTAATTTTTTTTTAAATGTACTTGGTACAGAGTCTCACTATGCAGCTCTGACTTGTTGTGATTCTCCTGTTTTCAGTCTCCCCAGCGCTGGGACTACAGGCATGTGCCATCACGCCTGGTCTCAGTGGCTGGCTCAGGGTGCCTGGCAGTGGGGCCAGCGTGGCACGTGGTGCCATGATCGCCTCGTGGTTCCCGGGCTTGCCTGAGCAGGCGCTTAGTCGCTGTCTCACCAGCCCGGCTTAGGGCACGAAAGCATCTGGAGTCTGAATTTTCCAGACAAGACGCTCAGCTGGCAAAGTCTACGCTGATACTCTCAAGGATGAAGCCCAAAACGCTTCCGGTCCCAAGCATTTCAGATAAGGAATGCTCAACCTGTGTATTACATTTCTTTATTTTTAAATAAGTATACTTATCTCTGTATTTTTCTGTGAATTATCTACTTGCGTCCTTTGTTTTTCTAGTGTTATTCTTTAAAAATATCTTAAAATAGCAAAGTAAACAATTTGAGTTTTAAAACAGCATATATGGATTAAAAACTTGCATTAAAGTTGTCCGTATTTATACATTTTTTCTATTTCATCTATAAACTTCTGGTGTTCAGGAATCAAATCTTCATATGAATTAATTCAAGTAATTTATTGTCTTGCATATGTATAGTTAATAAAGATCAGCCCATTTATGAATGGCTTGTTGGGGAGAGTTGGCAAAGACAGATGGGTCAGGCAGGGGGAATAAAATTAAAGCTGTGCGTGGGGCAGAGCAGGCTCTCTAGTCGCTGAAGCTTGTGCCAAGGAAACAGCGAAGATGGTACGGCTTGCTGGACTTGCCTAAATTCCTACTGCTCCAGCTCCATACTTTGGTTTTCTCACGATGATGTATGGCAAACGTGGGTATGCAACTGTTTACGTTGGTGGGAATGGCAGGAAAAGTTGGCCAGGGTTAGACATATAATACTGTGTGTTATTTTTGTACAGTTGGAAGACTTCCCCAAAGGACTTTGCTGCAAGTAGACAGCACTATAAACGCCTACCAGCGAGGTGATGTAGGACTCTTAACCTGCAGCTTGTTTGGAGCCTGCTGCAGTGGGCACAAGGCTGTCCAGCTGTTGGCGATGTCCTGTATTAACTAACCATTCATAGAATTTGTTCTCCACAAGTACTTGGAACTGTTTCCTTTGATCCCTAAAATTGCAACGGAGAGCAAAAGGAACATGAGCGCACTACTTCATACAAACTTATTCCAACTCATTAAGTAACCCTTAAATGGGATAACATTAAATAAATCACTTTTTCTAGTTATCCTTTTGTTCTTATTTGGTTGACTTCACATTAGATCACTTCACAAAGGAAAAAAACAAACAAAAAAAAAACCCAAAACGAGTCAATTACAACGCTTTCTCTGTAAAGACTTGTTTTCAGATAGGCTATTTTTAAAAAATGAGTGGACAGAAGAAGCCTAGGTATTTGGCAGAGGTCTTGAGGAAGAAAAGCAGTGGAATCATTATCAGGAGGACACTGCCTGGCTAAAATTAGAGCACATTTAATGGTTCAAGACATGAAAACCAGGAATACCTCCTGACAGCCCAGAGCTAGCTGGACATCCTCAGTGAGCCCTGGTGTGCCTGAGACCTGGTCTGGCCATGGGGTTCTGTCGAGCACAATCCCACAGAGCACCAATGGCACAAAAGACCACTGTGGGATGACAAGAGCCCAAGCAAAAACAAGAACCCACCACAAGCAATCTGGTCCAGGCGAAAAATTAAGTGTTCTGGTCCAAACCATGAAGATGACAAACACCTGAGTAGGTTAGGTGTAGTAAGTGTAGTTTTGACTTAAAGACCTACTGAATAAATTGAGGAACATCTATCTGCATTCCCAAAGTGATATCAACTACTTTCACTGTGTCTAATTGCTATCATGGATGGGGCTTGGTGGTGCATGACTGTAATCCCAGCACTCAGGAGGCTGAGGCAGGAGAATTATTGTGAGTTAGAGGTCAGCCTGGGCTACAGCATGAGCTCAAGGCCAGCCTGAACTGCAGTGAGACCCTGTCTCAAAAAGG